CTTTAGTAGGCTGGCTTATATCCAATTAAATTTATCTTTGCCGTTGGGGGACAATAATATTTTCTAAGGGCTTCCTACTTGTAGCTATTGTCTCTGGCCCCGGATTTCCTGAACACACAGGCCGCCGAGGATAGTCTGCTTTACTGGCGTAAGGTCCGCGGTACCCATTGGCTTGATTTAAATGCTATCGAGGTATTTTATTTTTCCTTAGGAAGTAATCACATTGCAGTGGCACCAAATACGACAAGGCCATGTCATTTCTAGGCGGAGATCCCCAGCACGTTGGCATGGGAATCAATGCGTGTCTACCGCCGAGGAAGTTCATTCAGATGCATAGGTTAGACGGGTAGATCACAGGCGCCAGGAGTTTGGACCTCTTTAACCAAACCAAGGCGTGGTACTTGAAAAAAATTGGGGTGGCTTTTCCGCAGCCCCATCACTGTTGCTCCCACCCACAAGGAACTATATATATATCTGCATAGCTATTTGTTCTTCTGTTCAATATGCCGACAGACGGACAGGTTAACTGCTCCGGCTTCGTCACCAAATTCGTGGAAAAGCCAACAGGAAAAGAAACCACAGGGAGATTGGGGGGACGGACGGACACGATAACAGAACACATTAGTTTACCTATTAACCGAATACATCCGTTTATTTAGGCATACATTAAATGGTGAAAACTCTTTTTTTCCTGAAGTCACCCTATCCAGCTTCTTGTGAGAGATGTACAGGTAATCATATGGGACATAACAATCTAATTGTAAACCTAAGTGATGACTCTTTACAGTGATTTTCGAAAACACGTGTTCACAAGTTCAGTCCCCCAAAATTAATCCCGTTTTAACATCATTTTCTTTTTCAAATTGATAACGGAGCAGATAAGCTAGTTTCCTGATGGCGAATGTCTATTGCCGTGCAAATCCAATTTGGACTTTCTACAAAGTTCAGTCTCCTTTTTTACACAGAACCCTGTGCGGTTGTATTGCTTTGACCAAGTCCGTCATAGATGGAAGGGAGCAGGGTTCTTTGGAAGTTCGGGGGGGTTTTAGCTACAAAGAAAGGATGTTTCCTTAGAAAGTTTTGCCCGAATTGATATTTTGCTCCCTTCTTTCCCCCGCCCCCCCTATACTCTGTGTCCCCGTTGTTGTCTCAAGCAAGTGATCTGGCGGCATGAGATGGAGATTAATAATTATTTTATGTATTAACTTTGCAAAGCAGTGCTGCTATACACTGCGAGAGCCACACGCAGCCACCCAGATCCACAGGCATATGTCTAATTACACAACTGAAGCCCTGCTTGACAATTGACATAATCCGGTCGCCTGTTCTGCTGCTTAGTTGTATTCTTTGGTCTTCTAGTGTGGTTTCGTTCGTTCCTTCCTTCCTTCCTTTCCCCCGCTTTCTTTCTTTCTTTCTTTCTTCCTGTCTGCCTGTCTGTCTCCATTAAAATGAAGACCCCTCACCGTAGGGACAACTTTGAAAACTCTTTCCTCACTCCTTTCTTGGAATGTTTTAATACTACGACTCATAATAAATATAATGACTATTATTAGTACTGTTAGATTTGAGTCCAGTATCAGTACTATTATTGGCATTATTACTACTACAGCAATTACTATAACTATCACTATTACTGTTTTTTTTCTCGTTCCATTTTTTAAAAAGCCATTAAAAAAACACACCGTCATTCTTGGCTGAGAATATGAAATCTATCAACGATTAAAGATCTTAGCAGACCTTACGGTTTATTTGCCTTATACTCATTGGCCTTTAAAAAAAAAAGAAAGAAAGAAAAAAGAAAGCGGAGACCAAAAGGAATGTGAGACTTCCAGCCTTCATTCTTCTGTTTTATGGTAGGCAGGGAATTGACTTTGGTGGTTCAAATTCAAGTGCTGTGGCTCCACAGCTGTCTTCTCTGTGCTTCTTCGCAGGAAGCCGACAAATCCTAGCCTTTAAACCGGACTTTATAAAGCACAGCGGCACCGAGGCTTGCTTTGGCTTATATCTACCTATTAAGAGCAATAAATGATTGGCACACCTAAAGGAGAGAGATCCTGCGGGTTAGACCCCACAGGTTTTCGGCCGCAACCCCTTCTGTTGGTCACCAGAGAAGCCGAATAAGACCGAGATTCTGCTGCTCCAAACTGGGGAGGGTGGCGAAGGCATTCTACAATGGATGCTGGAGCATCTTTCTGTCCTCTCCACACGCATCTCTCCCCCACCCACCCCCCGCCCAATATCATTGCAAACGTGTTGGATTCTTCACCACCCGGGCAGGTTCCAAAGACTTGGGAGTGAAAGGGGGGGGGGACAGTAATGACCCTGGTGAAGAATATCTTTATTATAGTAATTCGTACTAATATTGCTCCGTAAAAGGGCAAGTTGAAGGCTGCCTGACAGTTTAATTAAAAGTTTGGTCCAAAAACAACATCCAACTCGTAAAAGCAGGCGAGATGGCGGAGCCCATCTTTCTAGCATCCCTCCCCCCCGGCCGGGTTTCCTTCCTCTTTGCCATTGCAGTGAGGTATGTTTGCAAAGCACAGAAGAGTTGGAAATGGTGATAATAGAGAGTACGTATTATTTGCACACGGTTTGGGAAGCTTCTCCCCCCCCCCCCAGGGAGAGGGTCCAGAACAGCCACGGCCACCCCATCCCTCTGGAGCTCGTAGGATAAAATCCCAAGTTCAGGTTGGTTATGCTCCTAGAGTCAGGGTAAAACGATGGAGCCGCCATCTTTCGACTTGGTATTGCCTGGAGGATCTCTCACGAATCCATTAAGACCCAACTATAGTCCAGAAGATCCACTGCGCGTCTGCAAAGCAAGACTGCATCGCCAAGTGTCTCCCTTCCCCCTTCCGTCTTCCCCAAGACACATGATTATTTTTTTGAAAGGTTTTGATCTTCCTTCCGCCCGTTCCTTGGCATCCTTAGTAACTATTTTCAAAGCACCTTGCTTATTAATTTCATGTTCAATTTTGTTCTGGGCAGTCATCTTCTCCTTCCCCGGGGCGTTTGAAAGACGCCTACGACTATTATCATTATTTTGCCTGCAAACCAAATGCTACCTGCTGTTTAGACACTACCTGCTGATTTAAAAGGCACATGAGCTACCTATATTTCCAACAGTTATTTTTCTTTAAAGACATGGGGCGAATGAGGTCATCGCAGATCCTCCGACTTCTTTGGTCCCTTGCCTTCCTGGGACTGCAATGGGGTTTTGTTTTTGTTTTTTAACAACAAAAGACATCTTCAGACTTTTCCAAAGGAAATTCTTGGCACGAGCCATAACGTCCCCAAATAGTCCCGGCTCCCCACATATTACTGTAGAGCAGCCTGTTATGTTTCTGGGCTTTGTTATTTGTTCTTAGGAGGTTAATTTACGGCAACACGAATTGACAGGATATCACCAGTAAAGTCATTTCGCCCTCCTGATGCTGTGTGAATTTGGTTATGGGGCTCTTAAACTGTCCAGCATTGGAGCCAGCGAGGAAGGCTCAGGCGGGAGGGTTCAGTTGTAAACAAAGCAAAGGTCTACCCCCCCCCTCAAATCCTTTCACAGAACAGTGTGATAGAACGAAGCAAGAAATATCAGCGAAGTGATAACTTGGCTCTTAAAATAAAATAAAATAAAAGTCCAGAGTGAGAAGACTGAGATAGGTACAAAGATGCAACAGACGTGTGAGATACATCATCATTATTATCATTGTTGTTATTGTTATTATTATTATTATTGTTATTATTATTATTGCCAAAAGGATGGCATTCTGTCCAGAAGCAAAACCTCTTTGCTGAGCTAGTTTGTGTGCTCAAGATAACCTGAAAGATAGAAGGTTTGTAAGCACACACACACAGTTAAAGATACTTCCAAGGACATGCAAGCAGTCTAACAACGGTCCGGATTCTTGATATCCCTTGCCAAGGCTGGATTTACAGATTCTATTTCGAAGAAGAAACTTTAGGTTAAGAATTGCCTGGACGTCACATAGGGAATCCCTCTTCCGACTCTAAACTTGGAGAGACACAGAGAGGGGGTGACCCTCAAAAAGCACCAAATGCAAGGACGAATTACTTTAATTTTAAACAAATGTTAATTTCCCCCACATTTCCCCACCTTTTTTGTTAATTTAGCCTGAGAGCTAAAGGTCGCCAGGCATTGGGAAGGTACATTGATTGACAATAAACAGCTGCATTAAATATTCAATATACTACACTTACATAATAAATATTTAACCAAATGTTAAGGGAGCGTTCGAATATTTAGCAGTCCTGACTTAATTCATGGGCTTCAGTCTCTGCCCTGGTTTGCATTTATCCTAATTTGAATATTCCAGAGTCGCAACGCCAGGCCTCAATGGGTTCAAGTTTTGGACTTAGATGAGCCGAAAAGTTTAAAAGTTTACTGTGCCATTTGGCATTGCTGCAGAAGGGGGCATTCTCTTGAGCAGATAAGGTTTCTGCATACCTGAGATGCATATGGAGGGATCTAGTTCACCAATAAATGATAGAAACTTGCTAACTGGTATCTGTCTGTCTGTCTACTGGTCTGCCTGTCTATCTGTTTCCAAACCCACCCACCCCCAATATGGAGACAGGTCCTCCTTATTAAAATTAGAGCTTGAGAAATGTTGGAAAACTTACAGAAGAATCTTTATCCAATCCCCAGGCCTTCTAATAGTTGGATCGCTTTTTTAAAAAAAAGAAGAAGAAACAGAATATGCCTGATCACGCCTAAAATGTGACTAGCATGGAAAGGAAGAAAAAAAAGTGAAGGGGGGGGGAATACAGTTAACACATCCCTTAGACCCTCCCTTCTTTCACCCACCCCTGAGCTACCCCCACCTCATACCCATTTCCGAATCCTCCTGAACCACTGAAAGCAAAATCCAAATAGGAGAGCGAGAGCGAAAGAAGTTCACAAGCCATCCTCTCGCACTCTGCCTTGAATGCCTGCGGGGCCGGGGGGGGGGGGGCTCCTGGAAGAAAATGAATACAAATCTGCGATTGATTTTCATAATGTTTCTGCGGTGTTTTGAAACCAATCGTTTGAACCTCTGAGAATCTTACCTAAGTGAACCACTCCTACGCCTCTAAGTGCTCCAAACTGATATATGACAATATCTACTTTGGATCACGTGTCCTGGAGAGAGCGACTAAGACGGATCGCGCGTCATCTCGCCTTCCCAAATTTTTCCCCCTCTGCACCTCGGATCCAAAACATCTATCTATAGGAGCGAGAAAAGGAAGAAAGATGTTTAACTCAGTCAACCTGGGAAACTTCTGCTCGCAGTCGCGCAAAGAGCGGAGCGCCGACTTTGGCGAGCGGGCAGGTTGCGCTTCCAACCTCTACCTCCCCAGCTGCACCTATTACGTCCCAGAATTTTCGACTGTGTCATCTTTCCTGCCACAGGCCCCCTCTCGCCAAATCTCCTACCCTTACTCCACCAACCTCTCGCAAGTGCAGCCCGTGCGGGAGGTTTCCTACGGGCTGGACCCTTCCAATAAATGGCACCATAGAAGCAATTACGCCTCGTGCTACTCGGCGGAGGAGCTGATGCACCGCGAGTGCCTCCCGCCTTCCACCATGACCGAAATGCTAATGAAAAACGAGAGCGCCTACAGCCACCACCACCACCCCAGCGCCAACCACCCGGCGTCCACGGGCTTCTACTCCAGCATGAACAAGAACAGCGTCCTCCCGCAGGGCTTCGACCGCTTCTTCGAGAACGCCTATTGCTCCACCGAGACCCCGCCGGAGCCCTGCCTGCAGAAGGGCGAGGGCAAGCTGGAGACCGACTCCCAGCCCGGCGCGCTGTCATCCCGCGGCGACCAAGGCGTAGACCCGGAAGACGAAGAGGAGAACACCAACCCGGGCTCCTCAGCCTCTTCCTCCTCTGTCAACAAGGAAGGCAGCAAGAGCGGCAGCGCGAGTAGGTAGCGGGAGAGCGAGCGAGCGAGCGAGAGAGCAGAGCAGTAAATGGGAAAGGTTAAGGGACTAGCCCGCTGTTTTGTCGGTCAAATTTTATGTGGAGTTTTATAAGCATTCAAAGGATTTTATTATAACCTACAAAGCTCTTTCTTGCAACGAGGAAGGATTTTTACGATGGGAAAGGCTCTTGGAGGGGAGAATGGAGATGTTAGGCGGCAGACACAGTATCTCCGGAGTCTGTGAAATTTTTAAAAGCGCGCCATGGTGACAAATATTAACTTTGATCATGAACTTACACGAGCATTTTAAAAGGATTCGGTCCCGGGCTTCGGAGGGGGTAAAAGGCAATTGGGCAGAACACAAGCCTCGGCGCTTCCTGTCCTCTCGAGGAGGCTCTAAGAGGTGCATGCCGAGGGGGGGGGGAGGGGGGTTACATCTCTACCTATCTCTATCTCTGTCTCTAAATTTAATTCAAAATGTGTGTCTAGGTTGAAATCAGTGTGTTTTTCTGGGGAGGGGGAGACAACGTGTTGTCTGCGGACGGTGCTTTGTTTCTCCCTATAAGACTGCAATTGCTTTTCTAAACGGGATTTCTGGGTTGACTTTTAACATTATTTTGTTGTTAAAGGTGCTTTATTTGGGGGGGGGAGGAATGCAAGTGCGTGGGGGTGGTTGTTTGTTTGCTTGTTTGTTTTTCTAAATCTGAATCAAAGCAACTGGTCTAGCCAGTGTTCCCCGGTGTGGTCCGTTCCTTTTCATTCATACTAGAATGAAGCGTTCTGTGCCATCGGCTCTGCCCCATCGATAGCTGGGTGCAGGGATGGAAGGACGGACAGGCAGACATAAAGCAATTTCTGTTCCTGGGCGAACTTCCTTCTCCACTGTTCAGATCTGTTGCTTTGATTTTTTTTTTTTTTTAAAAAAAAATGTGTCTCTCCTCTCTCTGTCTCTTTCTCTCTGCGTCTCTGAGTGTGCGGCGTGTCTGTGGAGGGTGCCATTCCCCTTAATCAAAAACTTCTGCAGAACAGAATGCCCGGTTCCTATAGCTGTAACATTGCTCATGCTGACTCTAGAGAGAGGGGGGTCTGCAGATTGGCCCTTTGAACGCCTCGCCTCCCCACTGCTGTGGTGGATCCCTCACACTCCCCAGCAGCCATTGTTGGTTGCAGCAATAAGCCAGGGTTCAAGCTTAGAAAGCAGTTCTCCCCCCCCCAAGCCTTCTATGCTCATACATTCCAAACTTAAGAGGGACAACGGTCCTCATGGCTGTGCTAGACACGCCTGCTAAGATCC